CGACAGCTCTGCACGCACGGTCCGTCCCCGGGGCCGCTGGGGAAGGCAGGCGTCTCCCCTGGGTGATCTCCCGGGCCGGTACACAAACCCTCCGCAAACGGGTTTGGAAGGAAAAGTTCAGCCTGCCCCGAAGTCTTCATTGTGCGCCGCAGAGCTCTCGGGGTCCCAAGGTCCACGAGGCGATGGCTGTCTCTTCTGTTTGCTCCTAAGCAGCGGCATGAGCCCCACAGCGCCGAGCACATGCCCCGGGCGTTTCCAAATGTCACAGGGAACATCAGCAGAAAAAATACAGTCTGACTGAAAATCTCTTTTCCTGTGTCCAGCGGCACTCAAAGCTGTTGCTTGCACGTCTCTTCCAGGACAGCATCTCATCACTGCCATCGCAGAACAGATGTTTGGGTTCAAGACGACCTCATGGTGAGCAGGGAAGAGGCTTCTTTGACCCCAGTCTTGCCTTGTTTGGCGTGTGCCACCGTGCTGGGCCACAGGGAGCTGAACATTGATAAATTAAAAGCAATTTGCCCTTGGCCATTGCACTCGAGCTCAGAGGGTCTGGGAGAGGTGGCTGAACTGGAGAGAAGCTGTGCAAAGTACTTGCTCTGTCTTGTCCTCCTCCAAGTGTTTGATACGCCTCTGGTGCTCCGTAAATAACGGGGAGAGGAGGGAAGTACGTTTTGTTTCGGTCACCGCGTACCCAGCAGTGGGGTGGCACTTAGTGCTGCACAGAGGAACCTTCCAGCTGGTCTTAGCTACAGCAGCAGATGTTCTCCATCGGTGCAGGGAGCTGGGCCGTCAGCGAAGTGTCATTGAGCTGGACACCCCCTCCATGACAGCAGAGCAAGTAGAGGCCCTGGAGAGGAGCGTGAATGAGAAAATCCGGGAGAGGGTCCCCGTGATGGTGAGGGAACTGGCCGCAGATGACCCTGAAATTGAAACAGTGAGTGGCGGGCAGAGAACCGATGATATCTTTGGGACCAAATTAACTGCGGCACGGATGTCACCTTGCTTGCCGTTGTCCTCCTTTTGCTAGGTGAGAAGCCGCGGTTTGCCAGATGACCACGCGGGGCCAGTGCGAGTGGTTGACATCGAAGGCATAGACTCCAACATGTGCTGTGGGACTCACGTCTCCAACCTGAGTGACTTGCAGGTGGGGGGGCTGCAGCTGAGCTGCCTTTGGGACCCTCGCTGCACACATTCAGACCGAGCACAGCAGAAGTCCCCAAGATCCAGGTCTGCTGGAAATTGTCCCGATGGGAAACGGGGCAGTGGAAGCCCCGTGCTGGGTGAGCCCCGATGGGCCGCGCACAGGCCGGCAGCCTCTGTCCAGTCTGTCAGGCTCCTTTCTTTGTAACAGAACGCAGCTCTCATCCGTAGCGATGATATTTTCTGAACTGCCGACACCTCTGCGGAGAGCACGTGGTATATTGCCAGTTTGGCGATGCGTTCCTGGGTTGCTAGCCTTTTGTTCCCTCTGCTCAAAGCTCTGATGTTTCTGAGTGTTTCTCATGAATGAGAAATCCTCTGTGCAGCGAGGTGGAGATAAAATTCTAGAGCTGCCTGTAAATCTTTCTGTCTTTTCAGACTTTTTTTTTTTTTTTATATGTTGACCTTATGGCCGATTTTAATCCGTTTATTTTCACTGGCAGAGAGCCAACATTCACAACAAGGCATAGTCTAGTAGGAACTGATCACTTATGTGAGTATAAGCAAAGTACTGTTCTGTTCTGACCGGGGTGATTTTCTTTTTAAGGTTATTAAACTCCTTGGCACGGAAAAAGGGAAAAAGAACAAAATCAACTTGGTTTTCCTGGCAGGAAACAGAGTGCTGAAGTCAGTCGAACAAAGTCACAGTACTGAGAAGGCTCTAACCTCACTGCTCAAGTAATACCCTTTCCACTTTGATTATTTAATCTTTACTATTCCTTCTGACATAAGCCTCAGGGTACATCTACGCAATGCTTTTTTGATGTTATCTGGTTTTGCTCCTTTAAGGAATCCTTTCTTTGTGTGTCAGAGCAGTGATCCAAATTCTCCCTGTTCTTTCAGAAATGGACCAGGTGAGCACGTAGAGGCTGTGAAGAGACTGCAGAGTTCTGTGAAACTCCTCCAGAAGGTACGAGGAGGGCTGAGAAAAGCAGATTGCGGCTGCTTCCTGTAGACCTGAGCTTTAGTCGTGATAACTGGGAATTGAATCGTAGACATCGGGTTTTGTGGGTATTAGGAAAACTGCTCCCGTCTCTGGGAACGCAACTTGGTGTTCACACCGTCTTCTCCATCTGCAGTACAGTTTATTTGCTTTTCTTTCAGAATAACTTGAACCTTCTTAGAGACATTGCTGTTTTGATAGCCCGGGATTTCAAGAGCAAACCTGTTCAAAGCCAGCTGTTTGTGTTACACAGGTATGGGGGAGTCAGGGAAAAGGGTGAAATGGTATCTCACACGTTTTGTGGCAGTTGCATCTCTCTGACACCTATGCAGGCTTGTTTCTCAAGGTGAATAGAATATTAAACTGCCTCAGCCTGCGGGCTGGTTCTGTAATTAAAGGAATATGTTAGTCACTGAATTCTTCCAGTTTTATAGCCAAGAAATAACTGTGTCTATCTGATTTCTCTCTGCCCTTGATATTTTCAAATAAAACTGAGGAGCTTTATTTGTTAAAGATAAACACTTAAACAATTCCTGATATGTCTACAGGAATGCACAATGAGGATTTAGATACATAGAAAAAAACCTGATCTCCATCCTAACAGCAAGAGGCCAAAACCCCAGGCCTGATCAGGCCTTTGGTTTCTGATTGATATTTTGGACTCTAAAGGGGATTTTTTGCTTCTTTCTGAAGTGGTTTTTTTTTTCCCCATCCATACAGGAAAGAGGGTGACTCTGAATTTATGAATATCATCGCTAATGAGATTGGGACAGAGGTGAGTCACTGATGAAGACTAACCACTGGCTTTTTCATTCAAACTGCAGGACAGGCAGAGCCAAGCTTCTGTTTGTACAAGTTACAGGTCTGTTTCCTTTCAAAAGTTACATGAGGTTGTTGTCCCCAGCAGCCTCAGTCCGCAGGGGAATCCTCAACAGTCAGGAACTACAACAGTGAGAATTCAGAGCACTCTGGAAAAGCCTGACCCCGAAGAGCTGTACAGAACCTCATTGGCTGTTTGAGAATAGAATTAGAATTAGAAGTAGAAGTAGAATTAGAATAGAATAGAATTAGACTATTTCAGTTGGAAGGGACCTACAACAATCATCTAGTCCTACTGCCAACCATATCCTTTTAACTTAGGTTACCCCAGTACCCATTCTGTCCCCCACAACATATGATTAAGCATGAAAGGTTCAAAAGCCCCCCTCCCTTTTACTTTCTTCAAATTGAGTCTCTGTCTTGGTAACACACACCAACTTCTGAATGGTTTGTGTGCTGGGATGGGTCCTGTGGCTCGTGTCTCTGTCCTCTTCCCGGACAAGGAGGGCTCTTACTCTGGAGCAAGATCCATCGCTCTGTCCACAGGAAACCCTGCTGTTCCTGACTGTGGGAGATGAAAAAGAAGCAGGACTCTTTCTTCTAGCTGGACCTGTTGAAGCAGTTGAGAATTTAGGTCCCAGGTAACATGTTCTATGGTTTCTTTAAAATTAGTAAGAATTCTAATGTTGCAGACTAAGCAGCTGAGCAGTGTAATTAGGGCACGGATCCTTGTTTGCTCTCGAGCAGGTTGGGCCAGGGCACTCTCTTCTCTCCAACTGAGAGGCCTCCAGCCTGTCCTGTTGTTACTGCAGGGTGGCAGAGCTGCTGGGAGGCAAAGGAGCTGGGAAGCGAGGCCGCTTCCAGGGCAAGGCAACCAAGATGAGTCGGCGAGGAGAAGTGCAAGCCCTGCTCCAGGAATTCATCACCCACGGAAGCCCCGAAGCCTAAGAAAGAATTCTCAAAGTGGGGCTGTCTTCCCTGCTTTGCATAAGCTCCACCAACTTCTCTCCCAGAGAATAAAGACATAAAACCAAAGCTGGTGTGCATCTGCTCTGTGCGAGCCGACTCGGGGAAGGGACCTGCCATCCACGCTTTGCTGCAAGGCTTCTTTCGTTTCCCCAGACAAATGGTACGCATTCTTAAGTGATTAACAGTAGTCATTATTTAACCATTCTGTAGGCTTCCTAAAACCCAGAGGGGGCCCTCCCGTTTCAGTACGTCCATGGCTTTTTACTTTGTACCAGTTGCTGAGGAGTAATTGCTTTGTGAGCGGATTTATTTCTAATAAGCTGAATGCATTTAAAAAAATCAGAACGCTGGTAAGAAGCAGAGGGTTTGAGTGTGATATTTACCAAGTACAGAGAAAATCAGTCAAGCTTTTGCTGCTGAAATATTGTAAGGAGAAGAAGGAATGAAACGTGGCAGGAATTGGAGGGGTGCTCAGATCAGTGAGTCCCCCCCAAAAGACCAAACTAAGCTGGTCACCAGTTACGGCTGCCTGAGCTAGAACTGGGAGGCGAGAAAACCGATGCTGTTGTCAAGCCTGTGAGCAAGGAAAGGAGGGGGCACCAGAGGACAAGCGTCCGTGAGCCCTTTTTAAAAAAAAAAAAATGAACTGACTTTTTTTTTCCTGGCTACTCACAAATCTGCCGATGCTGGAGCGTGAAGGGGTTTGAGGTCGTGGCACTGCCGGGGCCCCGCCTGGCCGACACGCAGGGCTGCCGACGGACGCGGCCGTTCCCTCGGGCAGCAGTCGCTATTGACCCGCCGGATGGGAGCAGCTGTCGGGTAACGCCGGCTTCATTGCCGCAGTCCCACAGCTCCACCGCGGTAGCGACAAGTTCGTTATTGCAAAAGGGAATTTCATCCCTTTGTAGGTGGCCTGGCAGAACCGTGTACGTGAGAATTCAGTGCGGATACAAGCAGCCACCTAAGTGCTTTGTTTCACAAGCAGGCAGAAAACCGTATTAAAGCCATTTGTTTGAGCTGCACCCTGGGCATTTCTCGTAGGCATGTGCCTGAACATTTCTTTCACTTCTGTTGCCACAAGCTCGAGTTTTCATTACTGTTCTCTTCTCCCCAGCAGCAGCCTTTCCTCTGCCTCTGCAACAGTATCTTATGTTTGGCTCTTTTACGTGGTAAGAAATAATAGCTCTACAAAAAAGCACATTACTCTGACCAAGACCAGCGAGGTTGTACTGGCACATTGGGTCTTGGCATACAGCTGACTCATGTCGCTTTCTGCGCTAGCCTGTAAAACGTGGCATTGCCTGCAGCTCCTGAGCGTTCTCCTTCGGAACAGCAGCTGTTCCTGTAGTTCCCTAAGTAGAGACTGCAGCTTTCTGTGCGCGGGTACGGCGGCGCCCGGCCGTGCAGGTAGTGCCTTGTCCTCGCTGCTGGGAAGGCATCGTCCTGGTCCACCACAGCATCTTTGCTGTGGGGTAAGTGGTAGAGGAAATGAAGCCTGAGGTGTCCTCTGGCAGGGCAGCCCTTGAAGAACAAGGTCAAGGTCAAGGTCACCCCCACTCTCACCTCCCACCCCTCTGGAGTTCCCAGCCTCCTCTCGAGCTCCCATCACAAGACCAGTTCTGGCGTTCAGGAGTCGCCAGCAGCCAAACTCATTTCCCGGTGAGTGTCATCAGTGACCCTCAGCGAAAGGAAGCTCTTCCCCACCTGACACCTCGGCCTGGAGAGCGGCAAGCCTTCCTTAGCCTTGATGGAGCACAGCGAAGGACAGAGCCCTGAATCAGCCGGGGCAGAGAGCAGCTGGAAGGGAGAGCGGGTACCCCACGGCAGGAAACCGTTCACCTTTGTGTCCCTTTCCCTTGTTGGGGTGCAGTTGTTACCGGTCCAGTGTGAACATTGGGAGTTTCTCCATCCAATGCAGATGTAAAGTCCCTTGGGATCAGGCGGAGCTACTCCCCAGTGTTTCCTCAGCTGGCCTTTTCTGCCAGCTCCTGGGGCTGTTGCAATCTCAGCTGCAGAAACTAAAGGGCGCTGTGGAGCCACGGCGTGAAAATGCACAAGTAATTTCGTCATTTTTTCACCTTGCTAGAAATGGCCTCACAGGTTTGGTCCAGATATTGGTAACAGAGAAACAGAAGAAAAGGAACCTCTGTCCTAAGGAGGTTTATCTACCTCGGACACAGAGGATGGCAGCAGCCCCGGCACAGAGGTCTCCGCACGCGGCTGGTGCCGGTGCCGTTTGACCGAGAGCCC